TGGTTTCGCCGCAATCTTTTTCAAACACGAAAAGCCATCAATTCAGTTGTGGGAACGAAAAACGTTGAATGTTGAAGGGCTTAACAGAACTATAATTCTCACTTTTTTTTACTCTTAACTTCAGAGTTGTATTATACCCAAAGTAACTTTAAATGCGCTTTTATTTATGATCTCTATTCCGCAAGAGGAAAAATTTTCCACATCCTATTGTGTACTAATTGTTAGGAATTTTAATGCCTAAATCCCTAATTGCAACAGAAACGCAGAATAGAAAAGTACAACCAAGACTTAACCGAGGTTCGGCAACTGCCTACGTCCTCGCGGAGGCCACACAGATAATTTTCTTATTAAAAAAGCAAGAAATTACAATTTAGGAGCGTATCTCAAACTGAGATTTCTCAGATAAACACTTGTACATCGTGTTAATAATCAAAGGGTATGAACCCCTGTTTCAATTCTCAACTTGAGAAATAAATGATACCCCACAATTAAACCCTCTTTAATTCTCTCTCTCTCTCCTTTTAAATCCCTCTCTCTCCTCTCAAAATCGCGTGTGAGAGCTGGAGAAAAATCGCCTCTGCCGCGATTTAGGGCAAGGCCGCCGCCACCAGAGAAGGAGAAAATCGGAGGAGAGGGGAAGTTCTTCAGCGGCTAAACCCTAGGCATGGAGTCGTCTCTTTTATAGGCGGAGGTGGAGGGCTGGCGCAAGCCTGTCCCAGCGACTGCTTCGACGCAATCGAGGCGCCGAACGCAGAGGTGGGAGCGCTCGAAGCGCAAAGGACGCCATCGCCCAAACGCAGGGGTTGCGTTTCGAAGCCAGAGTTGGTGGAGCGCGCTCGCACGTGGGCTCGAGCTCGAACGCAGAGCTCGCGTGGGGCGCTGCCGAAGATAGCCTGGACCTCACCGTGGCCTTGCCTCGTCGACATCGAGCTCGTCGGAGCTCCTCGCCGGTGCAGAGGTTGGTATCCACCCCCAAATTAACACTAATTACTAGGCAGGTCGCTTGTTAATTCCAGATTTACACATATTTTAACTTGGGTAATCGATCTGGTGCAACTTAAAATGATTTTGGGGTTCACAGTAGTGAAGCCAAGAATTTTTTCCTGCGGGCGCCAAATTGCAACCATCATACTATGCAGCAATATAATAATATATAATTAAATCTTATATATATCTAAATATATGAAAGAAGAACCTTGGAGTAAAAGTTTTACAATTAATATGCTATAAATTATCATACTAAAATTTATTTCCAAAAATAATAAAAAGAAAGAAAGTTTTTGTTTTAAAATGACTCGCGTCTTCTTTTTATTGGTCGGGAGTTTATTTTAATTGAAATAGATTTTTTCCCCCTCCAAAAGGATAATAGGTCATTTTATATTTTGAAGTGACGATGTCAATTGAGTTTTTTAGAAAAGGGTAGAGATCAGCAATGTTTTATGAGATAGCCCATGGTGAATGGGGGTTCTCTCAAAATTTCAAAGTTTGAGGGGGTTGTCTAACATGCACCCAAATTTGAGCCAAATTTGAGGAGATTTACTCAAATTATAATAGTGAAGGGGATGTGGTTGTTTTTTGAGACACACCTCATAGTTTAGGTTTTTTTTTAAATTAACTCAAAATTTAGGAGATTTACTCAAATTATAATAGTGAAGGCGACGGGGCATCATATAGTATGTTGTTTTATACCTTATTATGGCATGCATATTTTATTTCACTTTGGATTTAAAGGCAAGTAAAGTATGAAAACATAGAGAATTGTGTAGGTTTAAAAGTATAAAATTTTAGGTCAAACAAATCCCTTACATAATGGGTCATTTTGCTAAGGATTGGGATCCTCTACCCATCAATAGTGGCTCCTAATATTTGTTAATGCATCTTCACCTTTTATTTTGTAGGACCATCTTTCATTTTGTGCTTATCCATAAAATAAAAGGTGGAGATGCATTAGCAAATGTTAGGAACCACTATTGATGAGTAGATGATCCCTGGGGATCTATTTTATAATCCTGCTTGTTTTCGGGATCTATTTCAGTAACACATCCCTCCAGGGATAGCTAAAATGATAGTAGACTCACGTATGTTCAACTTTCATCATGCGCGCAATTTAAAAATGGGTAATTGCATATTAGTACCTTAATCGTCCTAAACTGCCATATACTCCCTCCAATCTCAGTATCAGCTTATTAGTCCCTCAGATCTTTAACTTTCTTGCAAATGCGTCCCTCTTGTTAGGTGATACTATTTTTGAGAGTGAACTCCCGTTAACTTTAACAAAATTAGAGGGTTTTCTAGTTATATACCCCCGCCCATCAGTAATCACATCATTTAAAAGCTTATCAGACAGGTTTATACTCACAACCGGCTCCAACTAAAACCCCAACCCACTAAATTCTTCTTCTCCAATGGTTCGGAGCTTCTTCAGACCCCAATCCTTAGCTTTTTCCAAAGGTTATATTCCCTTATAGAGTTAGAGGAGATATCATGAGAGAAAAACTCAGGTGCACCTTGGTTGATTTTAGATGTTGAGTTAAGCGTTAACCCGATTAGAGTTAGAGAAATTAACAAAATCCCTAGCATGGGATGAATTTGCAATATAAATGAAGATTTAAGGGATTAATAAGCAAATGCTAATTATCTTATTAAATGTTTAAAAAAATATTTTTAGGAAAAATATTTAAAATAAATTTACTTTGATTTTTTGAATAAGTTATCGCAATAAGTTTTTAAAATTATTTTAAATCTTTAATGAATTTCTTAGATTTTTTAGATATTAAGTTTGTTTTATTATAAATTTGCATTAATTACAATAAAGTTGTAACGGTGATTTGCGGCCATTTTAGACGTAAGTCATACTGCAACTAAGGAATATTTGCAACTATGGTAGCAACAACAGAAAAATATTTGCACTGGACAAAATTAACCCAGTTGCATGCAAATGCAGTTGCAACCAGTCCAGTTGCAAGCTACCAAAACACTCCCATGTATGTGACTTGTAATGTGAAGGTCACAATGAACAGGTCTATAGTATCTTGAAAGGGAATAGTAAAGATGGCATTTACTTTTTATTGCTCATTTTGCATAATTCATCACATGCAAAATCCACAATGGACCTAACGCATTGAACACATTTTAATATAACTTCCATTTTATTAGTAAAAACAGTGTCGAACGCACATTCACATACATCCAAGTCTTGTATCATACTACAGTATCACAAAAGAATCAAACAGATAGCTACTTTGATAAAATTCAAAAAAGAAAAAAAAAAGAAGACACCAGTATACCTATCAGTTTTTGAGAGAGCAAAACAAAAGGGTATCAAATATCCAGTTGAATTAGGAGGTACCACAGGTTTGAATAGTGCATGATTATAGGCTTATAGCATTGCTCGTATTCAAATACTACTGAGAAAAATTAATCATTTCTAAGGAGTTTTGTACAAAAATTGTGTTGTCGACTTCAAATTAAGTAGAATCGATGGATGGTACCGAATGTAACAAAACTAGTTTTCAGAATGAGGCCTAGCCATAAGTAGGGAAGAAGAAAGCATGGACTCAACTCATTAGATTGGACACACTGTGGATTGTTAATTTTACTTGATCCAATTTTAAACCTATAAAATTTCAATCGATAGTCCCTAATAACTATCGGCCCTTTGGATTAGATAACAACTGATTACAGAATACTGGTGAATCACTCATTCTAGCAATTATGGAGGAAATTTTGTCTCAGGAGACTGAGATTCTTATACAGAATGGCAAAATGTGACTTTGATCGCAGAACTCTAGTAATGCAGGGAAATCTGCAGGTTATGAAGGAAATTTTGTCCCAAAACACTTGGTTTTTCTAAATATTTGTAATTGGTCTCTGAGTATTAATCGGAGATTATCAAAGTATATATTATCCAGGGACTTCATTGTACTTTCATATGAAAGGTTTCAATCCTGATCATGCCAAGTTAAGATTTTGATCGGTATCCGAATTGTGGATGAGCTTGCTGTTTTTACATTCGTGTTCACGCTCGCATATACATTCACGAAACATGGACACGTATCAAATCTTAGAAGTTCCTATTTCAGATACTTTTGGAGTTTCAGATACTTGAAACCCATGTCCTATGTACGATTATCACTAATCACTAAGATTTCTCCATTCCTATATCTCCTTGTGTGCATCATCAAAACATTAAGTAGTTGAACTTGATAGTTCTCAGTGTCCATTTTTCAAAATGCTCGGGACACTATAGGTTGTTCTTTCTTCGGCCGGCACTCTCTCTAAGCCCTATGAAAGTTCTTTGCTTTATGCATTTTAGGTTATGTTGCTCTAGTAGTTTGTCTGCTTGCTTTTGGTTTCATTAGCATCATGGCTGCATACTTACTTGTTCTGTCTTATCGTCTCTATAATCAACTAGATCAGATGGGACCAACAAAAACATTTCTTAAACGGACACTAGAATAAGTAGGTAAACACAAAAATGACGACAATCAAATAGTAAAAAGAAACTAAATAATGGGGAATATAGAATGGATTAATCTAAACAGAAGATCATGTACTCACAGAAAACATAAGCAAATTACCGTACGAAAACATAAGCAAATTACCGTACCATACAACGAGTTTTACATTCAAAATTGTGTGCATCGGATTCCAATTTAACTTCCTATTAACAGAGTCTCACAACAAATGCTCTCATCATGAGAGAATACTAGATAAAATTTTCACCCACTCAAATTATACAACTTCCCAACACTAGAATGATACAAATATCAAGTAAGATTAGTGTAGTACAACACAGCCCTACCACAGTTCACTGGCGTTGGTCACTGGTTTATGATGCATCGAATGAAAGCATATTGATCAGACATAGCCGATATCAAAATTTTAAAATTAATAAATTAAGTACCCTAAGTTCAACATGCCATTATTGATGTTGATAAACACAACTAAAATCAACACCGCTGTTACCGACTAAAAAAAAGTCAAATTAACTTCCAATATGTAGAAATGAATGCAACTGTAATCAAATAGCAAATCTGAAAAATTTCAATGAGGACAGATGACTGTTCTGAGACAAAGGTGTATATCCAACCAAACCCTAATTGCCATAAACAAACAAACAAACATATAGTACAGTCTATTCACCACTATTTACTAAACAAACATTCAACAAACAAACAAAATAAAGCTTAGGAAATGCGAACCTCAAACATAGGAAAGCAACCTGAAGTAGACTACGATATAAACCGAAAGAGAAGCCACAGCAAAAACATGCTGCCAGAACAAAAGCGCTGAAGCCTCCTTCACCGCATAGCCCCTCAAGCTCGCAATAGCCCCTAGCAATATTGCACTCGGCGTTGTATACTGCAACAAGAGCACAAACTGATACATCTCATCACCTTGCACCAAAATATTCATCTTATCGGCCAAAGCCACAACCCCAATCCCAATCAGAGGAAGCACAAGAAGCCTAGCCACCGTAATCCCAATAGTTGTACGAAGCCCAAGAGAAGAATCATTAGGCCCCTCCGCAAGAATACCGCCAAGAATCAACATCACTGATGGAACCACTGCTCCAGCCAAAATCTCCAAACTATCAGTTATGAAAGATAACGGTGCATCGGTCCCGAAGAAGAAACTCTTCAGTAATGGAACAAGCCCAATAATAATAGCTAACAACGAAGCAATAGTGGGAGGTTGAAGAATATGCTGGATTGGAGTTTGCTCTGCCACGATTCTCATCCTTCTGACCATTTTTGGTTCGGCCAAGCATCTGATAGACTTAGGGCTACTAGTTCCGGCATTGGCATTGCTTGTATTCCCTGTCTCAGTCAAATCAAGATCGGGGAAACTAGCCTGAGACGATCCTGAAATGCTCATGAACACTCTAGCGATAAATGGTGTCTTTGAATGCTCGGTTTCTTTATCATGCATCCCCGGCCATTCTCCTTCATGAAGAAGAGGTCTGCTGATGTTTGTAGTACTACTAATCGGGACCTCTTCAATCTCATTGTTCTCCGATACTATCTCATAGTACTCCATTGGAGGCTCCATCATATGATAAACCAAAGTATATACCAGAATTACCGCAACCCACTGAGCAAATGAAACATAGGCGATTCCAGTACGGCGACAATCATGACCAAAGGGGTTTCCTTTGCTATCACACACCGAACTAATTATAGCAATCGAGAGGTTACCCGTGTTTCCAAATCCAGTCATGATTATAGTAAATCTAAAGAACTGGGGCGGCGGGCGGCAAATTAGGGCAACAATGTAGCCCAAGATGCATCCGACAAGGGTGCTTATGATGACATTGAAGGGTACAAACCACCATAGAAGGATCTCATCCAAAGTAATGGACTCACCCAAGTGGACAAAGATGAGACATGGGAGGAAAAGGGCGAAGACGAGCTTCGACAAGAGCTTGAATGTAGCTCTAGGGACAAGTTGGGTTTTTGGGTGGGCAAGGATGAGGCCAATTAAGGTTAAGGTCAAAAGCTTCATCAAGGGGACAACAGCAGATAGAAGGTTCTCACTCTCAGATCTCACGTTTGAATCCATCGATGGGTTTCTTGGTGAAAATTTCATATGGGTCTCTATGTTCTATCAACTATTGATCAAAATACTAACCATTGAAGTAGATAGTACAAGAAATTTGATATGGGTATGGTTGGAAATGAGATTGTACAATCCGGGAAATCAAAATTGATGGGATTCTGAGAATCTATAGCTAATGAGCAAATTAGGAAACTGAGGCTGGAGAACTTACCCAAGATCTAGAGAGAGGAAGAGAGATCCAAAGCCTCTGCAAAGATTTCGAGAGAGAGAGAGAGAGAGAGAGAGAATCAAGGGGATACGTAGTTTGCCTCTTCACCACATGTGTGAGAGACTCGTGAATCTGGTGATCCTATGTTGCTTTCTCGGAGAAAGTACACTGTATTTCTTCCCTGAGTATATGACAAATAATGAGGATCTGGAGCCGTCCGTACAAGATCGGACGGTTGATTTTGAGCCTGGACGCCGCCGCCGTTGGTTCTGTGGTTGGTTAATGAACCGAGCCGACCGGTGTTAAAGCTGTGATGCAATGCAAATATAGCAAAAATTTTATATGAAATAAATTTGCAAGATATACCATTTTTTTCCCGTGAGATCTGAGTTTATTTCCTATAATAAAAGTATTTACATTGATTACATAACGTTTTCTTTTTTTTTTCCTTTAAATATCTAGAATATTTACTTTAATAATATATATATATATCTTAAGAAATGAGAAAATAAACATCTAGTCATAGTAAATTATTTTAGTTTTGTTTCTTTTTATTCAAATATACCTCTGAAAGAGATGGTTTGGATAAATCTATAAATAGATATTTATTTACCTAATAATTTGTAAACAATTGGACGATGGAGTACGTATAGTGTCTTGATATACTCTTTTACTATCAATCTAACTATATTAAATTTACTTTTGTTCTTCTCCATTTGATATAAATATCTCAAAGAAACATCATTGTTAAGCTTGTCTTTCACGTTGATATTGCTTTTGTTACTTGATACAATATATATTTCAAACTAATTTTATTAGATCTAATATCTTTTCTCTTCAACTAGAAAAATATTTTCCTAAAAGATCGACATAAAAATATGAAATTATAAAATGCATACTTTTAGTATTAACAATATTCTTCTTTTACAATTGCTTTAGACGGGTTCTACTTGAAGTTCTTCTAAAGTAACATCATAAAATCATATGCCATAATCTCAACAATGAATGTATAGTAACTCAAAATGGTCATTTTTTCATCATATTAATTATACAAAATACTCAATAATCTTATGTAAAATAATTCTCATTAAGTTTCAATCGTAATGTAAAATGCATAAATCAGATGATAATACTATTAATTTTACTAAATTTAGCTTCTAATTAGATTATATTTTTAACTACCAATTTACTTTGCAGTGAGTGAGAATGAGAAATATCTAATCTAAGCTAGACACCCTCTTCATTCAAAAAAGTGAAAAGAAAAGAAAAAGAAAAAAAAAGAGTGGGGAAGAAATCTTCCGAGGTTTTGCAATTGAAAAATAGATTTGAACCGGACCAAAACGGCCCCATAGCCCGGTTTATGGTTACGTAGCAAATTGGGCAACAGCCCGCAGTGGGGACCACCTTTTTCACAAGAAATGGATAAGAAGGAAAATTTTATTTTATTTTGTTGTTTGTTTTCTCATGTCACGTATTTGGTTCCTTTTGTGTGGGCGATGAGATAAAGTTGCGTGATTTGCATGTAAATTTATAATTCAATAACTACGTTTTCAGGGGAAATTTTTGTGTACATCACGTTTGACCCCGCGAGTCAATTTTAAGAACAAACAAGTTCCCCCATTTAATTTTCTATGGTTTTATCTGCAAAAACTTTCAAATATAATATATACCAGTTTACTTCATTAAAATGAAGGAATTTAACAAGAGTACTTTTCCTGAATTTCTCTATGTTGCAATCACTTCTCTCTTTGCACCTCTTCCCCCATTTTCCTATGCTAGTGTGCACCCTGTCCAAAGCACGGTCCCCTATTTTTTTAAACAGTGCATTTTAAACTTGTCTTTCTCTAAATTTTAATACATTTAATTTAATTATTATACGCTTAAAATTAAAAATCATATTTACTTATCTATACTTAAAGAAGGATCCAAGTTTTAATACATTTGATTTAGAAATCATATCTACTTCTCTATACTTAAAGAATGATCAAAGTTTTAATACATTTAATTTGTTTTACTGTTTATGATACAGTAAATACTGTAGGTTGAATAGTAACTTCAAGTACGTAGGAACAAATTTGATTTGTTATTTATGCTACAGTAAATTTCTATAGTATGAACAGTAACTTAGAATGCGTAGGGCCCGATCATGCTTATTGTTCATGCTCCAATATCTACTGTAGTGTTTACTAGCATGAACAGTAATTCCTTAGATGCATCATCTTTTTATTTGGGATTTCTTTCTTTGGATCATCTAATTAAAACTTTGGTAGCAGTTTTTGGTTACCATGTCTTCAAGCAAGTTTTTAGTCCGGATATGATTTTCCTTTTTTACTCGGATAAGGTTCCGGATACGGTAATCGGGTTCAACTAGCGGATACGGTTCGGATATCCGGATGTTCATTTTAACAAAAAATATGAATAACAATGTAATGCACTTGCCAAGATTCTAACCTTGACCACTTAGTTATAAGGCGATTAACCTAACTGCTGGGCTACAAACGAACGCATTATATATCTGATTTGCATATTACTTAACACAGTTCGCATTTTTCCCACTACCCTCCACCATGTCACTAAAATCCTAGTGCCATAAGCTAAATGAGACTGTTATAGTATAAGCACTTATTTCAAGGTTTAGATTAGATAAGTAATTCAATCTGTATGTACTATCTTATTCTATGTGATTATACAGTTTTTTATCATATCTGATATATGTCTGAGTCATATACGTTTCTTAAATATCCGATTTGTATCCATGATCATGCCCGTATTCGATTCTCTAATATCCGAACCGTATCCGTTTTCGTTTAGCGCAGATATGGTTTTGATTTTTTCCAACTGACACATATCTGTATCCGTATCCGTATCCGTTTTTAGAAAGTGGATATGAATATGATAAGTGTCATATCCGAACTGTATCCGGACCGAATGCACCCATGGGAGTCATTGCTCGCCTTTTTTGTCTTTGGTCTGTCTCGCCCGTCCAATCAATGGTAGTCGCATAGGTGAGTTTGCCATCTTGCTTTCATTTCACTGTTTTGACAATTAATCCAGAGTTAGGCAGTTAGGAAGTCTCACTGTGTTCTACAGCTTCGCCTCCCGTTTCGCTATTTCTAGTTCTAACAGAATGAATGAATCGGCAGAGGCTGATTCCCTTCCTTGGGTAACCCTCCGGAGCAGCTGATTCATGACCTCTAAAATAATGAATGTAGTAAAATATTATTTGATATTTATGAAATATTTGGAATTTATGGTTCTAATTATATATGAAACTGAATTTGTCTAAGAACCCGCCAGTGTATTAATAGCAGCGAGTCACTCTTTCGAGATAATTTGAATATTGAATAACCATGGTCCATGTCCTATTCCTATCGCTACTTGATTAGAAAAAAAAAATCTGCATTAAGATTGGAAACAAGAATTGAGTAAGATTGTTTATGAAATTTGATTAGTATATTGTATATAGATACAAGGAAAAATGTCCAAAAAAAAAGAAAAAAAGGAAAACACTGTTGGATCTGGCAGAATAAAATAGATAATAAGCAACGCAATAATCATAAGAATAATCACAACAAGAACACACGAGATTTTATAGTGGTTCGGATAAACAATCCTACATCAATTCTTCACTCTCGCGAAGAGGCTTCTGTTGAAAAATCAGGTTTTCGGTGAATAGTATCATCAGTCGACTTATGACAGGCATAAGTCGACTGATGAAATGCCCTGGAATTGTGATTTCTTTTCTGCTCAGTTGATTGATAGGCGATCAGTCGACTGATGAACTCGTTCAGTCGACTGATGAAAGTTTGTGCAGTTTTTTGTGCATGTTATCAGTCGACCGACAGTCGACCGATGCTTCATATCAATCGACTGATGACAGGTTCCTGGGCTGTTTTTTGTTTCATGTTTAGTTTTGGATTTGGTGTTTGTATAAATACAACACGTTTTTTAGGATTTCTTAATGGAAGTATTAGCAACCTTTTGAGCATTTTGAGTGAGAGAATTTGTGAAGGATTTGAGAGTTTTGATTTAGGGTTATATTTGTGAGATTATTGAGTGATTGTAATTTCGATTTGTACTCTCTCTCCCTTTATTAGTGAAATATATCCTCTCCTTGCCCCGTGGACGTAGGCACATTGCCGAACCACATAAATTCGGTGTCTTGCTTGTGTGGTGCTTGTTTTGGTTGTTAATTTATGCTCCTATCTCGTTTGTGTTCGTGTTCGTCGATTCTGTTGCGCACAACAGCTTCCTCACTATGTGAAAATTCTTCTGAATCACAAACCCGATTCAATAAGCTTAAAAGACTGAAATCATAGTTTCTTCTAGATTAGTTGTCTAACCTAAACTCTTGGTTCACGAGTATCCTTAGCCCTAGCTGATGACAAATTCCTCAATTCAACCCCGGCTTGAGTACACCATAAACCCTCAATTTATCCCGGCTTTAGTACGCCATAAAAACTAGTTTGATTTTAAAAAATAAATAACAATTAAGTGCAACTGGAAAGATTTTACAGCCCTTTGATTATGCAAACCATTCTCCTAATGAATGAAGTGAAGCTTTGTGAAGAATGGTGATGATGATAAATTCTAAGGGCAGAACTTCTCGAAGGTTGACAATCGAATGATGAAGAACGACGTTGAAGATGCTTTCTGAGAAGGCTGAGCAAGATCCTTTCACCAAGATCCTTTCACCAAACTGAAACTCTAACCCTCTTCTTCTTTCTTTTTCTCTCTTAATTAGGCCAGGTTTCTCTGGTGAAAAATGTGAGAAAAAGCCTATATACCACTGATAATCAATGGCTAAAATTAAATCCAAAAATAGATAAGAAATATAAACTCGACGACTTAAAAACTAATGGTCGAATTTAAGTATCAATGGCTATTGTTCACCATCAATGGTTATTGTTCATCATCAATGATATGAACTTCTCTAGACTTTGCATTATCGATAGGTTGATAGTGACATCGATGTTTTATAGATCAGATAGAGAGCTTTCTGAAAAGCTATTACAATAGAGATTCTGATAATCAAGTCAAACGTTATGGCCTGTGCAAATTTAAGCCTTGGTGTATATTTCAATCCTATCGCTGACTGTTTCGATGTTGTTTAAGATTCAT